AGGTGTATAAAAATACAACTGCGTGAAACACAGAGTAGTATAAAAATACAACTGCGTGAAACACACAGTAGTATAAAATTTCAACTGCGTGAAACACACAGTAGTATGAAACTTCAACTTCGTGAAACACAGTAGTATGAAACTTCGACTGCGTGAAATACACAGCAGTATGAAAATTCGGCTGCGTGAAACACACAAACTTCAACACAAACGCGAGTGATTCACGCAATGGTGCGAATAGTCACGGCCTTTTTTTTTTTGAAAAAAAAAAGCTAAAAGTTGAAATTGTATGAAAAATGTTAAGTACGTGTTTTTTCGTTTCGAGAAATCAGCGCTTTCAGTCGCTTTTCAGTTATTAATTCTTTATTATATCAAAATAAGAAAAAGTACGTCTAATATTTTTAATTCCCCTCACGTATTTAGCAATAAACCAAATTTTGTGCAAAATCCAAATTTCCATTTATGGTTTTTTGGCGTTAAAATAATTCTTTTTGAATTCTGCATGAATAGGATATTTCTACCTACATATGACATATTCGTTTCCGTAGTGTAGTGGTTATCACGTGTGCTTCACACGCACAAGGCCGCCGGTTCGATCCCGGCCGGAAACAATTTTTATTTTCAATTTTTTGATTAATTAATTCGTTAGAAAAACCTAACACAAAAGTCTTATTGATTTAGTGGTTGATCGATAGTTGAATTGCACTCATGATCTTTCAACATTTATAGGGGAGATTGCGCTAAAATGGACACTTTTGACTTTTAAAAAAGTATTAGTAACGGGTTGAAATGTTGATGAAATTCAATCATTTTTTTTCAATACGAAGAACAATTCTTTCCCTTTGTGATGTGCCTAAACTGAGTAATATTGATTTTGTTTCTGAGTTATGAATAATTTTAAAAAAGTCTAAAGTGTCCACTTTACCCTACCCTCCCCTAAATAATTTTTACCGAGAATTTTCTATTGAAAAAAAAAATTTTCTGCTCGATTTCTCCGCTTTATCGTCAAATAGAAATAAACTCTGTTTTTTTCTAACGAGAAAAATCATTTTCTTGTGGAGAATTACAGAATTCTCAATGGAATCCCCGGAAAATAATCAATTTCCCCGGAGAATAAAATTTCTCTAGGTGAATTTTCCCCACGAAATGTTTAAATCATCCTAAAGACAATAAATTGTGTAGTTGCTAATTACTACGTTGTCGATGCGACTAGAAATAACAAAAAATTGATCAATTAATTAATTAATAAAAAAAATTGTAGTTCTTTAGAAGCAAAAAAAAATCATGGGCAGATTTTTCTGCAGAAAATGTGAGACTTCTCCACCGCATCATCGAAGTCTATAAAAATTTCCCGTACGTAAAGCACCGATCAGATATTTCTGCACAAAGTTCTCGAGTCCCATGCCTCAGTAATTCCCCCGCGTGTTGGCTCGACCAGCAGCATCACCTCACTGTTGAAAGCCCTCTGGTCACTTTCCACGGTAATTAACTGCAGATAGACGAGTGCACATATTATCAACGACTCAATAATTTTGCTCGTCCACGGTAGAGCCAGGTTTTTTCTCCGCTCATAGGCTCTACAACGTTTTTACAGTGTTTGAATTTTTTCAATGATGCGACAGCCCCAGTAAAACTAGAGTACACGGTGCTATCGGTAATTGGTCCGTGCCTGTCGAGAAATTTCTTCAGCAGATTTGAAAACCTATCGTAAACATTTACTAAGGAGCACGGAGAGAAATATTCAATAAAAATTGCCATCTTTTTCGTAATTCTGGAGCGAAATGTGGTGGTGGGAAATTTTACGGAACTGTCGCGGAATTTTTTCACAGCGCTCCGCAATTTTTACCTTAATCTCCTGTGAAAAATTACGATAACGTCACTCAAATTTTCTGAGTCGATCCCGCAATCGGCGAGCGACCTGAGTTCCGTCATTTTTACTGAACATTTCTCTCCGTGAGCGTATAAAATTTGGAGAGAGGAAATTTCATTCAGTTGAAAAATTTTACGATCAAGGAATTTTTTATTTTCACGTGGCAAAAGGAAATGGAGAATGTTGTGATTTTTAAACTAATGTTTACGCCCGTCTTACCCCGACCTCCTCTAACAAATTGAGGTATCACGTGTGGGATTCCCCGCCGAGATGTTTACCCGCTCGATATCCAAATCTGGAACTTTCTCTGGAACAAGCGATTTGAGTGAAAGTAATGCGATAATCCCGGGATCTTGGAACCATGACGTTGGTAGGATCAATTATCGATAACTTATTACGTGTGTGAGGGTGCTCTGAGGACTGAACTTCCTCCACTCCATCCTCACACTTCCTTACTTCCTTCATTACGATGAAACCTAAACACGAGATTCATCGCTGCAGCGGTTACATAAAAATTTGAAGATAATTCTCTTTTTTTTATGTTTATTATTTTCATATTTCTAAAACAGAGATGGGCATAATCATAAATTATAATTGTCATTAATTTCATAAATACTCAATCAAGTAATAGAACTTGGCAATTTTCAATTATTAAATTAATCAACAATTGAATATTCAAGTTCCGAATTATTTGACCAATCAATAATCGATCTCGGAAGATTGACTATTATTTGATAATCTCTAATATTTTTAGGAAATTTCCAATTATTTACTTAATAGTTATTTGAAAATTTTAATTCTCAATTATTTTATGATTTTCTAAATTCCGATGATAAATGAATGAATTCAATTATTTTAAGGAAATGTTCTCTTAATATTTCTAAAACAATGATTGATGCCGATCACTGTTCTAAAATCAAATTTCATTGTGTTCGAGGAGATTAGTCGTTCATAACTAATCTAGAAACTTTTAATTGCGAGATCCGTCACCTTTTAGATAATTCTCACAATTTGAAGATAATTCTCTTTTTTTTATGTTTATTATTTTCATATTTCTCAAACAGAGATGGGCATAATCATAAATTATAATTGTCATTAATTTCATAAATACTCAATCAAGTAATAGAACTTGACAATTTTCAATTATTAAATTAATCAACAATTGAATATTCAAGTTCCGAATTATTTGACCAATCAATAATCGATCTCGGAAGATTGACTATTATTTGATAATCTCTAATATTTTTAGGAAATTTCCAATTATTTACTTAATAGTTATTTGAAAATTTTAATTCTCAATTATTTTATGATTTTCTAAATTCCGATGATAAATGAATGAATTCAATTATTTTCAGGAAATGTTCTCTTAATATTTCTAAAATAATGATTGATGCCGATCACTGTTCTAAAATCAAATTTCATTGTGTTCGAGGAGATTAGTCGTTCATAACTAATCTAGAAACTTTTAATTGTGAGATCCGTCACCTTGAACTTGTGTTGAAATTTCGGGACAATGATGAAGTAGTTGACCTAGAGCTAATCTAATTGCCCAAGAGCTCCAGGGTCTCGAGAAGAATAAATAAATGAATAAACGGATGAAATAGATCATTTCATCATTCATAAACCTTCTTGATTGATGCTCCACCTGCACATCAGGGTCACGAAACTTTCAAATGTTTCTCCCCGTGCCGAATATTGATGGAAATTCTCAACGGGTTTCTAAATTCAACCAACGCCTTCAACTGTGAAATACTGAAATTACGAAGATTACACTCCGAATTACCCCAGGGGAGTTTCACCGTCATTTTCGAATTATTGTGATGCATCATATTCCCATTTGTAAATCTCGCGGGGAGATAAGGTGAGAATAACCCGGAGGAGCGGAACCCACCGGGTCCACTGCTCCGTGAAGTTGGGGGATTGGAAAATCTTGACCGAAAAAAATCCGTCTCCTCTGCTTATTCGGCATTCAGGGAACGTTTCAGTGATGAAATTTCGGCCTCAAACAGTCCGAGGACTCATTGATCACTTGGGCCACAGTAGAAACCCATTAAATAACGACTGCCAAGGTCAAACCCCCAAAATAGTTGATTGAATTCTCATTGGCACATAATAGACCAAAAACAAACACCAAATTTATTATTTCCAGGGCTTCAAAGACATTTTACTAATTCACATAACTTGACAGGGGTACACTGTTGGAAAAAAAATGAAATTTTAGGAACAGTTGACTAAGAATTTTTAGGGCAGTGCCACTGAATGCAATTTAAGGGGAAAAAAATCATGGAATTCCAAATTTTACTGAAAATTCAATAAAATTCCGAAATTTTGAGAAGCATGAAGTGCCAAATAATTGAAAATTCAAGAATATGTTTATCAGAATTTTCCGGTTTCCTATCAATTTTCAGGGAAACATTGAACTGAAATTTACAGTTTTCATTCATTTTTCCCCAGAATTCAGAATTTTCAATGACGAAATTCCTTGAAATTTCAGTGAAACTTGGATGTGATAAAAATTTCCGAAAGGTGTACTGGAAAATTCAGCTAAGAATTCTTAACAGTGTATCATCCCCATTGACCCTCATCCAAAAATCCACCAAATTTATTATAAAATTATTTTATTGTTAATGAAGATAACAGTACATTAATTTATGAAATTCAGCCTGAGGCGATATAATTCCATACAGATTTAATCAACTCTCAATAGTCGACAATAGTCATAATGAATGTATTATTTTTACAAGATCTCGTTCGAGCCTTTAAAGCTCAAGATTCAACGAGTGTTCGCAATATGTACATTGTGCTAACGTATTCAAAATTCATCGATGAAGAAATGCTTTTGACATTCCACTTGAGGTAAACGTGCCTCTCCCCCACGATTACATCGCTGTGATCTCAAAAACGATTAGATAATAATCATTATTATCACCAGCGTCACAAGGAGAAATTCGCCTCAATTCCCAAGTCCCCCAGTGCCCCCCGACTACTTCTTCATCTTCTTCCTCATGGCCTCGTAAGACGCCTCCAAAAGCTCCTCATCGTCCATCCGCTCTGCAATAGCACCAAAGACCGTCCGCAGTTCCTCGCGCGACATTTTGCTCAATCCAGATAAATCGACAAGTGCCCCATCCCCATTCATCCTCCCCTCCAGAATGCTCTCCACAACCATTGGAAATCTCGCCACAACAGCATTCGCAACAGCCTCAGCACTGTTCTTCTCCAGAGCGACATCAAGAACCACAGAAGAAGGGACAACGTCCTCGTCGGCGACCGCCTGTCTAACCAACTCCCTCGGTACTCGTTTCAAAAACCGCCCCAATGTCTCCGCCACCTCCCCCTCCCTCTCCTGCCCCTCAATCACCTCAGACGCGAGCTCACACACCTCCGTCGCCGAGAATTTCTCCCTCACCACCTGTTTGATCATCTCAATATCCAAATGCTCCTTGACGTCCTCAGCCTTTATCCTCGCCCCATACGCCCTCAGGATCTTCGAGGCGAACTCCTTGTCCTTTCCATAACTCTCCTCCAGCTTGGTGAGGATCCCATCGAGACCGATTATGCAGAAGGCAGCCCCCAGCATGAGGTCAGCCCCCCCGGCGTTGTCGACCCCCTCGCCATGCGCCTCCTGCAGCTTGAACTTCTTCCCCCCCACCTGCACCAACCCCTCCTCGAAATCGCACTCGTTGGGGTGCACCACATCCTCCACCTCCTGCGAATCGTCGACTCTTATCGAGGAGCTCACTTCAGGGAGCCCGATCCCAGTCGACGTCTTCGCAGGTGGGGAAATGGTCGTGTTGATGATCATGGAGCCATAGTCAGTCTCCTGCGTCTGGACACTCTCGATGTCCATGTGCCCCTTGGAGTTGTCCAGAGAGTTCATGGAAATCGAGGCTGTCGTGGTGTCCTCGCTGGTGGCACTCAGGGTGTCCTCGTCGTCCCCCTCAGGGTGCACCTCAATGGTCTCTTCAATGATCTCCACGTGCTCGCCCCCACTCGATTTGCCCTCTGGACTCTCGAGACTCTGTTCCATGATCAAGTCGGTGAGGTAACTCTTGGCGAATTTGTTGAGGATCTCCTTGACATAATCGGCTTTTGGGTTTCCTTTCGTTGGTATGTCGGCCACCTCCTTCTCCGTCATCCTCGCGAGGTCCCCGATGGTCTTGAGCCCCCTCTCCTGGAACCAGTTGGACAGGTGTGAGACCCACAGGGGATTCGTCAGGTCGTTGACGATGGTCTTGAGGGGCTCCTCGCAGCCGATGAGTGCGTGGCAGATCGGCGAGATCGAGTCCAACTGCTCCAGTACTGGAATATTAATGCTGTTCTGGGTGCCCTGACTGCACTGGCTCATCGTCTGGCTCAGGAACATCGAGTCCGTTATGGGGAGGGTGTCGGCCTCAGCAGCTGCTGCCATCGCAGCGATCTGAGTGCTCGTCCTGGGGACCTTGGCGACGAAGAGCTCGTCCGAGTTGGCTGACGAGTTGAAGGTGCTCAAGTTCTGAATGTCCAGGGTTTCCTCCAGCTCCTGGGGCTTGGGCCCTCGCCCCTCGGTCAGGATCCTGCTCAAGATGGAGTCGTCAGTGAGGTTCAGTCTCGGTTTCTCGAGGGATTTGGAGTTGTTGTTGGTCGCGTCATTCTGACTCTGGGACTCCGGGAGGGACGTGTTGGAGATTGTCTGGGTGACTGCGTCGTCGGTCTTCGTGAGATCGAGGTCCGTTGGCTCCTCGATCACCTCTTTGTCCTCTCCATCGTCGTCCGAGTCGAAGTTCACGTCGTCGTCCTCCTCCAGGTCGTCAGCTATCTTTGCAAGCATTTCGTTGTCCTTCTCTCGCTGGAGGTCAACCTCACTCAGGCCCTCGAGCTCCTCGATTTCCAAGGGGTCTGCCACTGTGACTATCACCCTGGGGCGAGGCTTGGGCTTCAGAGGGGTGTCTTTTCTCCCCGGGGAGCGCAGCCCTCCTGTTTTCGTGGATTTAAATGTCGAGGGTACGTACCACATCTCCTTGAACACTGGGGGATCAGCGAAGCTCACGCGTTTGCGTTTGGGTGTGACGTCAGGGTCAGTGTCCAGGGGCAGTGACTTGTGGCGTTTTAGGATCGAGGAGCCAGGGGATGCTGTCAACGAGGGGGGATTGGCACTCGACCACTCGAGCATCGGCAGCTCTCGTTCTGATCCAATCGTCGTGTTGACGTTCTTGGGCTCAGCGTAGTCGTGGTCCAAGGGCGTCTGCTCTGGGGGCTTGTCCCTCTTCGGGGAGACCCTCTCACCGTCGTTCCTCAGGGTGCTGAAGGGCGACTGGGAGAAGTCGCTGCCCTTCATATTGTTGAAGATCTTCTCCTGGCGACTGCCACTGGGGCTCGCAACCCTCTCAGAGTGCCTGAGAATGGCTGGACGAGTCCTCTGGGCGGGCTCTGGCTCTTTCCTCAGCTCCTCCTCAGGTTTCTCCTTACTCAGAGGTGCTGCTGAGAGGAGACCCACCATGTGGGCGCCACGACCGTGGGGCGACATGCCCTGGCGATTTCTTATGTTGAAAAGCCGACGTTGATTCGTCTGAGGGGACGACGACGCCAGGACTGACGTTGTGAAGGACGCCAGACCTGGGAACTTTGTGGGGTCCTCGGGGGTTTTCTTGGGGTCCTCGATGGGGATCTTCTCGGGGATTTTCTCCTCCTCCACGAAGGTCTCGTCTGGATCGCTGGCCATTTGCCTCTTCGGACTCGTTGGGCCTGGGGATTTTGCCACTGGCCTTGATGTCGATGGAGACGATGCCTCTGCTCTTGGCTGAAGGCGCTTTGGGGAGCGCAGGACTGTGGGCTCCTGCGAGCTCTCCACAACCTCGTCGTGATCACTGGCCTCCGCTGGTTTATCGTAACAGAATAGGTCGTCAGATAATTTTCCACTGGGTTTGGAGGCCTCCTCCTCGTCCTGGTGGGACTCCACTGATTTGTCATCAGAGTCTGTACTGCTGTTTAGCTTCTGGTCTCGGGGGTCTTTTTTCGCAGCCTCGGGGTCGATTTTGCCGCTTCGTCTTCTTCTTTTCTTCAGTAATTCTTGGCTCTGCTCGTTGTCCATCTCTCGCTCGGCTGATCTCAGGGCTCTGGGCCTTGGGTCGTCGGGATCTTCTCCCTTGTGTTTAGATCTCCTTCGTCCACCGACAGTGGGAAAGACAAAGTCAGCCACCATATCGATCTTCAGTCTCGATATCTCTCTCCTCGCGTGCTCAGAGAGCTTCTCAACCCCAGGGGGATCCTGACTCCTGGGGAGGTGGGGCTCTGGCTGACTCTCGGTTGTGTGAATCCCCTCAGAGTAACTCTCGTCGAGTTTCCTCACCTTCTTCCTCTCCGAGGCGTCAGGATCTCCATCGGAACCTGCTTTTCGCTTGAGGTGTCTGTCCATCGTGTCGTAGCCCTCCAGGTGGCTCCTCCTGCCTCTTCCCCCCCTTCCTCTTCTCGACTTCGCTGAGGACTGCGGCGAGGAGACCCCCAGCAGCGGCTTCTCCTTGGGTTCAGCGTCGTTGACCTCTGGGAATTCCTCCCTCGACTCAAAGTCCAGTTTTTTAACTATCTCTTGAGAGACTCCACTCCCAGATGCCTCGGTCACAATCCCATCCTCAGGGCTGATTGCGTCAACAACTGGGGTCTTTTCAACCTGCATTCCTCTACTCCCTGACTCCACTGGAATACTCTTTGGTTCCTGCTTGGAGGATGAAGGGGCGTCTCTCACAGTCATCGTGTTCTCCTTATTCGACTCATTCCTCAGTCTGGACTGCTCGAACCACTGCTGGATGTCCTGGGTGTCCGTCGACGCCGACTGAGAGCCATCATTGAAGATGGCCAGGTCCTCTCGACGACGTTTGAGGCACTCCTTCTGGTGCTCAGTCAACCTGTTCACATCGAACTTTGGATCAGACTTTATTACCACGTAGTCCTGGGAGTCTGGGTCCGGGGGGAGAGGCGTCATCCTCTTGACGTCCTTCTTCACCTCTGGGGGCTTGAACGTCTTCGAGGGCTCTATCACCTTCCCCAGGAAGCTCCCAACGATCTTAACAGGTCTCACGATTTTACTCTCGAAGGGAAGGATCTCTGGGCGCTTCACCACTGGATTCTGAACCTCTTGTTCTATTATTGAGAAGAGGTGTCTGACGTCGTCCTTCACATGGGGGTTCATCTCCAGGAGCTTCCTCACGGCTAGGGAGATCGAGGGGTCTTTGTGACGTCGAGCCATCAGGATAATTTGCCTGAAGGACCCCACGAACTTCACTGTCAATGCCTCCGCACTCTTGTCGATGATGAAGATGATGTGTTCTAGGCAATTTAAAACTTCTGTTTCCAGTTCCACTGTCAGGTTATCGTGCAGCAGAAACTCGATCGCAGGCCTCAGTCCCTCGAGGTACAGCAGAGTCCTGGGACCGTTGTTGAGACCGAAGACTGATATCAGGTAGGCGTCCATGGATTTTAGAGCGAGTTCTGCCTCTTCGTGGCAGTTGTTCTTGAGTGATAGCATCAGCACGTCACGCAGAACGTACACCAGGGCTGGGACTTGTCCGGTCATGGGGAGTCGCTCGTAGTTTATCGTCTCCATGAGGGGTGTCAGGCAGTGGGCCAGCAGGACGAAGTAATTTTCAGACCTCGAGAGGGCCTCCACCATCACTTTGGCTGTTGTATTCAGAATTAAATTGTGCTTTACACTGGGAATTCTGTCTGCTTGCTGGTCAAACGCCTTGTACAGGTGCCGCCAGTACACAGCGACAGTGTTCACTTGAGATCTGGTGTATGTGATGTCACTTTTGAAGGGGAAATTCACCAGGGTCTCCATGGTGGAGAGGTTGTGGGAGAGATCGGTCCCTTCGTTGATCGGTTGGTCGTCTCCCATGTATCGAGTCATTATGTCAGCCAGGATGCACCACAAGTCCAGGAGGAGGGACTGCTGGACCTTCTTCACTAGTGCTGCTGACATTCCCTCCAGGAGGGACTTTATGAACAGCAGGATGTGGGGGTGGTACATCTCGGTGATGGATGGCATCACTGCTCGCTCAATCAGCTCTCTGATGTCGTCGATATTCCTCGTCTGGACGCGCTCCAGAATCGAGGGGGTCAGGATCTTCTTCAGTAGATCTATCAGAGTGTTGTCTCGGTACACCAGCTGGTCGGACACCTTCGTCAGCTCGGGCAGGATGTAGTACAGAATCAAGTCCGTGATCATTGGGGAGTCGTCAGAGTGGCTTATCATCTCGTTCGTGACCAGGATCAATTCCTTGTACATGTTAGGTTTTTTATCGTGGCTCGAGCGAACTATGTAGTCCATCAGGTTGGTGAAGAGGATTGTGTTGAGTTTGTGACGATTCTTCAGGTCGTCGTTGGTCAGATTGCTCATCATTATGACGGCTTCGGAGACACTGTGCAGGAAGGACTTGTGGTGCTCCTCGAACATTTTTATGGGAATCGCTGTGGGCAGTCTCTCCTTCAGGACTGAGGTTATCAGGGAACGATCTTTCTCCTTTATCACCATCATCTGGAGGAGAGCGTCGATGGCACAGATCTTTGTTTTGAAGAAGATCTTCCCTGGGGATGCCACGAGGTTCTGCTTCTTCGAGAGGAGGGGGGTGTCTCCGAGGGGGCCAAAGCAGAAGTTCAGGAATTGAATGATCACCTGGGCCACGTGGTCTGTCGTCTTATTCGTGAACATTGTCACGATCAGGTGCCACCAGACCTCCAGCTTCGTCAGGGCTATCACCTCGATTTTACTGTTCTTTGCGTTCAGGGGGATGCAGAGGAGTTTCACTCGCTTCCAGATGTTGAACTCCTCGGGGTTCAGGGCGAAATTGTCGATCAAGTATTTCCAACAGAGGAAGGCTTGCTTTCGCACTTCGGTTTCGGAGGATTTGAAGGCCTTCTCCTCGACGAGGAGGAGCTCGTTTATCAGGGCTGAGTTCTTGTGGGCCTCTGTGCCCAGCATTTTTATCGTTAGGGACCAGAGGCTTGACCAGATTGCGTACTTGTAGGAGACCAGCAGGGTCATTCTGGGGCTGAACACCTCGGAGAGGTTCGCTTTGAAGGCCTGCCACGAGGTGGGGAACTTCTCTCGCACGTGGGCGACTAGGCCCTGGGATACCGCGGTCTTCAGGAGCTTCAGGGCTGGGTCACGCTGTTTTGAGTGGCCCATGTACGCTAGAGTTGCCACTTTGTCCAGGATTAGGAGGTGAAACTGTAACAATGATTTTTTTTCATTTCATTGGGATTTTTAGGTCATCAAGTTTTTAATATTTTTTCAATTGTCTGGTGATGAGAAATTTTGAGAAAATAATCCAAAGGATTTTTTAAGGATTCATCAAGATGGAAAATAACTTTTAAATCAGCCCTGAAAAAATTTCAACTAGTGCCTTCATTTGTAGGTATTTATAGCAATTATTACCTGTGAAATGTTAAATGTTGAATTTTAGGGGAAAATTTTGGATTTTTAAAAAAAATTTCAGCCAGATATTTTTAGTTGTTCATCAAGATATGAAAAAATTTACTTGCAAATTATTTCTGAACTGAATTTCACCAGTCGCCTTTATTTTTATTTATTTATATAATTTGTTACGTGTGAAATGTTAAAAGTAGGATTTTAGGAAAAAATTCTACAAGATCATTTTTTCTTCACAATCATCAAAATGTGAAAAAATTATTGTTTACATAATTCCTCAACATAATTTCATAAATGTCGTCAGTTCCTATTAATCCATGTTATTTGTTACCTGTGAAATGTTAAAGGTAGCAGTCTCAGAGGCATGATCATACACTCTCTGCAAGAACTCTATGACCTTGAGAATTAACCTGTGCTCCACATCCTCTTTGCCCTCCAACTGTCTCGCATCCGCCTTCCTGAGGACCTCGATATTCGCTGGGGATGGATCCTTCGCCAGCCACTTCATCGACTCCGAGCTGATCCCCTGGAGGCAGTCCCCAAAGAATCTGATGACATCCTGATCCGTTAGGAGGTGGGTGAGTACTGTCATGTCCACGGTCTTCAAAAAATCGAAGAACGTCAATCGTTTGCTCCTGTCGATCCTCAGTGCAAGTCCAAACAGAACCGGGTCACTATTAATAAACTCCTTAAGAATAATATTAAATAACTTGGTCACGTCGCTTTGGATCTTTGCATCACAGCTTGTGATCATGGCGATTAATTGCGTGCAGAGTTCGGTGAACTGAGCCTTTGTCAATGTCTGAGACAGGCCCTTCCCGGCATGACTGCAAATAGAAAATTTATTGGCGAGGTTTAGAGGTCGTCATAAGGAATTTATTTATAATTATTTGAACTCATGGAAGAATTCAAATAATTCGAATTCTTCGAATTCAAATTTGGATTGTTTCAATAAATAGCGAAGGAGTGGAATTAAGTGAATCATTTTTCTCATTACGAAAAAATAGGAGACAAAATTGTTTCTTAAAATAGGGAATGCTAATTCACGATTAAATTCACTGGAAGGCCCTTGAATTATTCACTGTCTTTTAATCAATTATAAACAGTGAGGAACGTCATAAGACACGATTTGTAATAATTTGTTGTTCACGATCTTTTTGAGTTATATAAATGGAAGTAAATAAATTGCCCTGAAGAGGAGCGATATTGACCCCTCGAAACGTTGGCAAATAACAGATAAATAAATTAATAATTCAATTTTGGAGTTTCAACACTGCCGCAAAATAATTTAGTTAAAGCAAGAAGAGCTGCAAAGAATGCTTTTTCCTGCATCCGTTCATCATCCTTAAGTTTAGCTGAATCCCTTTATTATTTCTGAATGTTCATAGAAAATTCTTCGAAGAATATTTCAGTCGTTGAGCGCTACAACTAGATGAGTCAATTTCATTTAAAGATAACTCCAAGAGATTTTTTGTATTCAGAAAAAAGTTGCTCATAAAAATCTGTCTACTTTCCCATCTCGAATCTTCTTAGAACTTCATTTTGAAGATGCGTCGAACATATTACCTAGCTCCACTATCTAAAAATATTCATAGAAAATTTATTCAAGGAGATTTCACCAGTAAATTGGTGTCCCCTGTTAGACCGTTATTGCCTCGAAAAATTCGCGCTGCAAGAACTTCCTAACGAAACTCTCCCCTTTCCCAAAAACATTTAGAAGTTGGGGTGAAATCGACAATTTTAACTTTTTTTAAATGTTAATGACGGGTCGAAATGTTCCTGAAATCTAATAATTTTCTTTTTTAATGCAAAGAACAATTCTTTCCCTTTGTGGTGGCTCTAAACTTTGCTCAATTGATAAATTTGTTTCTGAGTAATGAATAATTAAAAAAAAATCTAGCGTCCATTTTATCAGAAAAAAATCCATTGATCCCATCAAATAACCGCCTCCCAACCAAATATTCCCCATAAATACCTCGTTATGCAGGTTAGGGCGGTCCATTTTTCCGCAATGCTATTGCTCTCCCGCAGCGTCTTCAGGAATTTGTTCACAACCGCCGGAGTCACAGACATAATTTCAATATTCCTAATGAACTAATGTTGCAATAACCCCTCACTAATCAGCTGTCTACAAACGAGTAAAAAAAAAGTTCTCAAGTTCTATCACTTTCGAGTTTCGTTGGAAGCCGGTGTAATCACATTTTCCGAGCCCTCACAATTCCCTCCGAATGATCATGGAGTCATCGACCACTGGCGTCCCATTTGCTCCCCAAGTAATTGTATATACGTTGTAGTTGTCGCTGATTTTCTCAAGAGCTCCGGATTTTCGCACTCAGAATAAAACAGCAAGCAATATTTGTCTGCACCAGTGGCTCAATGGACAATAAAGGGATTCACTGGGGGGATAATAGGGGCACTATTTCCTTCCTTTGTCGCTGAAATATTTGTTGCTAATTGGCATTTGCCACCGCTGTTTCACTCTTTTTTGCACAGTTTAACCTCGAAGAGATGGCTTTGGCGTTCAGTCAAGGGGCGAGAGATCGGTGATGGGAGAATTAATGGCACTGGGTGACAATAAATAAGTTCAACGCAACATTTCGCTCCCTGCGTTGATAAATAAACTGTTGCGATGTAGCCAGTACGAATTACATGTAATGCGCGTACGTTTCTCCGCCAATCACCGGTCCTTGGTGAATGCGCGCCTCTGGTTCGCGCCTTTTTTCCCCCCTCGCAAGCGTGTGAGAGGGACTTAAGCTGTTTTATCGACTGGGGGGAGGGGGAGATTCGGCTTAAAAAAAAATAAAAAAACATCCAACAATTGCAAAAAAAATGAACAGCATTTTTTTTTATTGAATAGGGAAATGTAGGCGAGTGAATTTTTGACGAGCTGTTATTGAAAATCGAAGTGTTTTTTTTTCAATCAGTGACTTGAGGAAAATGAGACAATCCTAAATGTTATGGAGCATTTAGATATTTAAATACTTATTTTTTTATTAGTTGTGTAGATGCAGATCAATTTTTTTCCTGTTATTTCTCTTGTTTTTTTTTCATTTCTTAAATCCTCATTTCCTTCATTCCCTCAGAAATTTAATGAAAGTCCTTTGCAATTCTTGGAAATTCCAAATTCTAAGTAATTGAAGTATAAGTTTTGTTATAATTCGTACAGACCTGCAGATGAATTTTTTTTCTATTATTTCTCTCGTATTTCATTTAATTTTCAACTTTTCCTTTCCTTCACTCCCTGAAAAATTTCATGAAATTCCTGTGCAATTCTTGGAAATTCTAAATTCTAAATAATTGAAGTATAAGTTTTTTATTATTCGTTCTTATAAAAATCTACATAATTCCACAATTACATCGATGGAAAACCATATCATTATCATTCGTCACGATTTATCCCCCTCAGACCCACAATACCACAATCGAACGCTATTGTCTCTAGGTACATCGTCTTCATCACACAATCTTTGTCCCGAACTCGTTGCCAATATCGGCAGGCACTTGTGCATATTTACACCATTCACACAGTCCTTAGACACCGCGATCTTCCTGGAGGGCTGGATTTCGCTAGAACCGTCTTCTGGAATCCTCCAGACTGTGGCGAATCCATCAGTTCCACCTGCAGAGTAATTTCTTTCTATTATTCCTCTATTTGTTTCCCATTGGGCTTTTTCGATCCCATAAAATTTTTACTATAGAAGAGAAATAGGTTTCTCCTCAAAAAATAATTCTCCTTTAATTCCAAATTTCGACAGGAAAATGAGTGAAGTAACAAATGAATGAAGTGACATTCATCAATCCACTTCATTCATTTGTTACTTCACTCATTTTCCTGTCGAAATTTAGAATTAAAGGAGAATTATTTTGAGAAGTGAAATGCTTTACTTTTTACTTTATTTTTTTATTTTTTTTTTGAAGAAAATGAATGAAGTAACAAATAAATGAAGTGACATTCATCATTTTTACTAATAATTTTTTACTATAGAAGGGAAATAGGTTTCTCCTCAAAACCCAATTCTTCTTTAATTGCAAATTTCGACAGGAAAATGACTGAAGTAACAAATGAATGAAGTGGAGTGATGAATGTCACTTCATTCATTTGTTACTTCAGTCATTTTCCTGTCGAAATTTGGAATTAAAGAAGAATTGGGTTTTGAGGAGAAACCTATTTCCCTTCTATAGTAAAAAATTATTAGTAAAATGATGAATGTCACTTCATTTATTTGTTACTTCATTCATTTTCTTCAAAAAAAAAATCAAAAAATAAAGTAAAAAGTAAAGCATTTCACTTCTCGTTCAATTCCACTTCATGCTTGAAGTGAAATGGATTATTACCTGAGACAATTTCGCTCCCATCATGTGAAAGAGAGAATTGAATCCTCTGATTTGTGTTGGATCGACGTCCCTCCAAGGAGTACAGAATAATCCCAGGATTTCTGAGATCCCAACAGACGAATTCATCGTTACGACGAAGTGCTGCATACAGTTTCGTCCCACAGGGGCTGAATTCAACTTGAGTGACGCCACTGCTTGCTCTGAAGGAACACAGAGGTCCATTTCTGTATAATCCTGAAAAACGTCATCAAATACTTCAAATTAATTTCCTCGTCCTCGTATTTTTGCACGGGTGAAGAATATTATTGTATTCACCTATGCATTTGGAGTATGTTCCAAAGGCCAGAAGCCCTGGCATCATGGGATTCTCCCGGATGCAGGAGACGATCCCTGTGACGTTCGGAAAATCGTGCTTCAGGAAAATGTCTTCGGTTTGCCGACCAGGGCGATTAGTGTCGAACGATCTGAGGGCACCTTTGAAGCCCGTCCACACAGTTTGACCCTGATCCGAAAATTGGACACTTATCGCCGCTTCCACTTCGTCAACTCTAAAAAATATGAGATTAAGGTTGATGAAAATTGACTAGACTTTGGGTGAGTGAAGAAGAGAGATTAAATTTTACAAAATCGAGATTAATTCTTACAAAACATTAAATTTAAGGAAGAAAAAAAAATTTAATGACTGTTTTGTATCTTTTACGCCAAATTAGAAAATATTTCTTTAAAAATTTGTCGATTTCCATCGTTGCTCCCACTACAGAAATATGACAAAAAATTTTATAAAAATGGACTAGACTTTAGTTTAATGAAGGAGAGATGAAAGGTGACAACTTCTTTATCGAGATTAATTTTTATAAAACATTTTCGAAATTAAGGAAGAAAGTAAAGTTTTAACGGCAATTTTTTTTTGCAGCGTTCACATCAAATTGCAAAATACTTCCTAAAAAATTCCTCATCTGATTTCTATTTGAATATATTCATCACGATAATTATCGTGAATCATCATGAATATTATCGCTCCATAATTACCGTTATTATTCTCATTGTTATTCATAAATAAACCTCATGCTCTCCATTCATCTAGCTCAAAAAAGGAATCAAATTAATTCATTCATAAAGTTCCCCCCAAAGCCTTAATTCAGTAGCGAAGTGGTAAAACGGTTTAAGTCGACTCATCTCCCAGTTGAGTTTTCGAGGAATATTTCCGAATCTACGGGAGCTAGCGAAATTTTCCTGATTACATTTATTGTAGCTCTCAATCGGCTCTACAAAAAAGGTCGTAACAAAAATTTCCCATCTCCCTTAGATTCCGAGATAGGCGAGGTTGGGGTAAAATGGACACTTTTCACTTTTTTAAAAATATCAGTGACGGGTTGAAACGTTGATGAAATTTAATCTTTTTTTTTTTCAATACAAAGAACAATTCTTTCCCTTTGTGATGAGCCTGAACTGAGCTGTATTGATACATTTGTTTCTGAGTTATGAATAATTTTAAAAAAGTCTAAAGTGTCCATTTTACCCCACCCTCAATTGACTTGTACTTTACCACTTCGCTACTGAATTCTGCTGATGATCTTACTGATTATAAGCCCTGTAAGTGGCTCTCAACTGTCCAGTGAAGGCATCCCACAGATGGACGGGAGTCTCCTTGCTGGTGCTGATGAAACAGCAGGTGTCTGGCTCCCAGGAGTTCATCAGGGGGTACCACGAGCAATCGTAAACAATCCCACCCTCTTTGATACCAAAAACAGGGCTCAGTGGGGGCAGTGGATCCTCCGGGAGCTGTCCAGAGTACAAGACCCTCGGAAGTTCGTAAACCCTCAGCCTGAAGTCGTCAGCAGGCACCAGGAGGCACGTCCCATCCGGCGACCAGAGGCACCCTCTCGTGAAGTTTTCACATTTCTCGTTGGGTTCGTACTCCCCAGTGGCTGAACACAGCAGTCTCGGGGGGATGCTCCAATTATATTCGAGATTATGAGGCCCATCTGGAGTTTTTACAGCAGAATCCCCTTTTTCGTCCTCCAGAACAATTTTTTCCTCTGATTTTTCTGGCTTTTCATTCACCTCAGGTCGTTCTAATTGCATTTCCTCTGGCTCTAAAACCAATTCATTCATTTGTTGGGTTATTGCTGCCTCTTTTGGAGCAAGATCAACAACAATTGGAGCAGGAGTCACGTCTTTTGGAGTGTTTTCTTCATTTTTATTAACTTCTGGTGAATTTTTTTCTACGAATTCGGTCTCTTCCATTGTTAATCCCCTTTGGAATGTCAGGTTATCTTTTTTTTTGTTTACAAACACACGGATTAGGCACCATTTCGCACTCTCAGGATAATACAGAACATCACCACTTCTACCAAAACAAAAATCACGAATGATTTCAGGCTTTCAGACCGTGGTCTGTCCCCATTGGCTAGCTTGACGCAGAAAATTCCAGAAAGTACAGTCCAAATGGTAAATTTTACAGTTCAGTAACTTGACAACTCTGAATTTCCACGGGAAATGGTCTTGGAAAATGGGCTAGTCCCCGCTAAAATAATAAAAACTTGTTCGTTGGTCTGTACACAGTCGACAGAGCTGTTACACACAATCGGGGGAATTTCGCGGAGAGGAGAATTTATCAAGGATAAACGACATATTGGACCACATTCGGTTTGGAGCAAGCGAACAGGTCAGCGGAATAAAACTCTGTGCGACAGTGTAAAACCATATTGCGAATAATACTCCATTTTGGAAAAAAGTAACTTTAATTTCACGTTTGAGAGAGGAAGGCTGAACAATGGGACGAAAAGGTGAGTGAAATCTTGATTAAAATGGTAATTAATAGGTTAAATGGGGGAAATTGGAGGGTTGCATCATTCGGTGCGATTATCGTACGTAAAAACGAGATAAAATGGGCAGTTTCGACTTTTTTCGAAGTCTTCATAACTGTGACAATTAAATTTATCAATTGGGATCAGTCCGAGTGAGGAAAAAAGAGTGGATTTTTGGCGAAAATGGAAATGATGACTTTTTGTCGGTGGGAGAGAGAATTAAATGCACGATTAGATGAGCCTTTCCAAACGTCAATAGCTCGAGATTAGTAGAGTGAATTTCGGGGATTTTTTTCTCATTTTGAAGACATTTTTTCAGGCTTTGAAAAGAGATATGAATCAGCTGAATTGCTCCACCTCAAGGAGCATAATTTCGATAGTTAATTATATCTATTTGAATATCGAAAAAATAAATCTCGACATTCTGCTCTTTGGGATTTTCTCAGGAAATATTGATGATTGAAGATCTATTTTACCCCACCTTACCGTAACCCCAAGATTTATTAATATTTAAAAAAGTCAAAAGCCAACATTTTAGCCTAATCCCCCTCCTCTCCTCTCGCTCTAATTATAATTTTTTTATTTCTTTGAAAAAGACAAAAGAAGGATGACATTTTTAGGGATAGCACGGTCATGAGACAGTTTATTAGATAATTATTTATTTATTTAATTATTTTTTTATTTATTTGAAAAAGAAAAAATTAGGATGACATTTTGCCCGGACATGAGACAGTTTATTAGATATCTAAAAATAGCTCTTGAAATTCTGCTCCTTGGGATTTTCTCAAGGAATATTAACGATCGAACCTCCATTTCACCCCGCACGCCGGTAATTCGAGGGTTCATTAACACTTTCAAAAGTCAGAAGCCTCCATTTAAGGTTATTATGGTGGGGTCCACAGCCGGAAAAAAGCAGAGAATTCAATAAAAATTGCTGAACTGATTATTCGATCCATGACCCCTACTTAAACAATAATAATGGGAATAATTTTTGAAGTTGCTACTTATACACGCAGTTGATTGGGGCATCGGTAATTTTTGTGAAGTTCCTACGTTATCGATAGATCAATAACATAGGAAAAGCACTAAAATTACCGATGCCCCATTCAACCGCGTGTAAAGTAGCAACTTCAAAAATTATTCCCATTATTATTATTTAAGAAGGGGTCTTGACATTTTGCACGCGGCTCTCAAATGGATCGAATAATCTGTTCAGCAATTTTCATTGAATTCTCTGCTTTTTTTTCCAGCAATGGACCCCCCCATAATACCCTTAAGGGGAAACGAAACCCCTGCGTTTATATGAATCTTTAGAATTGTGTTTTCTCCTGCAATTATTATTTTTTATTCATTAAATTACTTCATTGACTCAATGCGATAATCGAGTCGATGAAGTAATTTCGTAGATAGAAATTAATAATTGTAGGAGAAAACACAATTCTAAGATTTGATGTAGACAAAGGGGTTCAGTCTCCCCTTACCCCACTCTCCTTTCTTCACTCTTATTCTCTTTTTATTCATTCGAAAAGGAAAAAAGAAGGGAGGGGGAGGAGGAGAGGGCGATGGGGGGCCATCCCAGCAGCCCCAGGGCCAACAGCAGCAGCAGCAGGGGCGTCCGCAGACGGTCCCTGAAGGGGCTCCACGTCCTCAGGAGCAGGCAGTTCGTTCTCAGACAGCTCCTGGTCAATCTGCTGGACAGAGACCTCCACCGGGTCCACCACCAGTGGCAGCTGGCGCTGCAGCTTCACTTCAGGGGGCATGGGGGCAGCGTCAAGCCCAACAGCCTGCTGGAGATCAGGGGGTTGCACAGGCGACTGAACAGATGGGAGGGATGCATATTGAACAGCGGGGGCAGGGACAGCAGATGGGAAGGGGTCGAAGTGCGGGACGTGATCAGGATGGTCAGAGGGGTGGAGGACGAGGGGGAAGTGCTGCGCGTGGAATTGGCAGGGGGCAGGGTCCTGGGAGGCAGGAGCAATATCAAAGACCTCCGCAGGAGCAACAGCGCCAGGAGCAACACCAACCACAACCCCAACAGCAACAGCCTCAGGGTCAGTGGAAATCACCTCAACAGCAACAGCAGCCACCACAGGGTCAACCCTCACCCCAGCACCAACAGCCTCCATCGAGACAACCATCTCAGGTGAATTTCACTATTTAAGGATATTTAATTTTTAGTTTTGGAAATTAGTCGGTGGAGCATGGCTTGGAGAACTTGGAGAAAAATGTGTTTGTTAAAGTCTTCGGGTTCCCTTTAGATTCAAATGAATTCAGACGTAGATGAACTTGAAGTGAAATTCAGTACGCCTAATTGGAGGTGGAGGTGGATCTTCAAATTTAGATGAGTGGGTAATGACTAAAGAGATGGGGCGTAATGATGAAGTCTTTTGAAATTCCATGACTTCTTGAAAAATGTTTGCTGGGGGGCTTGGAATTCCCAGTCCTCAGAAACTCAGGGAATCCTGTGAAATTTTGATAAATTCTGGAATTTTTTTTCAAAGAAAACTAGGAATTCTAAAATGAATTCTGAAATGAATTTAAAAAACATGTTCCAGAGTCCGGGATTCTGTTCCACATTTTGTTCTCTAAAATTTTGAAATTTCAATTTCAATTTGATAACTCAGTATATATAAAATTTTTAAAGTCTTCAAATTTTTTTTGAACTCCAAAAATATCATCTCTTTTAGTCTTTCGAACTGTAAAAGATGTTGAAATCTCCTATTCCCCCACATCATCATCCCTGTCATTCACGACCTCTACAATTTTCCAGACTTCATCCCCAGCATCATCAAAGGGCCCCTCCCGTGCCCCCTCGACCGCAGGTGACGGCGACACCGCCTCAGTGAAATCCGACGCAAGCAGCGGAACGCGCAAAGCCCTACCGAAGCCAGAGGGTCTTGACACAAAGACCCTAGACATTCGCATAAAGAACCTGCGCCTCACCGAGATCCCCCGTCGCAAGAACCCCCTGAAAGCGGGCACCCAAGGGCGCCCCATCAAAGTCGAAACAAACATGCTCTCCATAATCTTCAAGAAGAACTTGAAAATCCCAGTTACCCACTACGACGTCAAGTTCGACCCGGACCGTCCGAAATTCCTGAAGAAATTGGCCTTCGCAAAGCTCAGATCCCAGAATTTCCCCAGGAACTACCCAGCCTTCGACGGTCGCGTGAATGCTTACGCAGCAGGGGACCTGCCCTTCGGAAATCATCTGACAGCCACAGTGAAAGTGTTCGACGAAGAGCGCCAGCAGGAGAGAGAGGTGACGGTGACCATGAACAAAGCAAATTCCATCGACATCTCGTGGCTCCACAATGTCAAGCCAGGGCTAGCAGAGTCTGATCGCGATCAAACGACAATGCAGGTGATCGACGTGATCATGCGTTCTGCATCATTCGATCGCTCCATCCAGACTGGCCGCTCCTTCTTCAATCAGCCACGAAACCCAGTGGACCTGGGGGGAGGCATGGAGCTCTGGAGTGGACTTTTCCAATCAGCAGTCCTCGGGTGGAAACCCTACTTCAACGCAGACGTTGCATTCAAGGCGTTCCCCAAGCCCCAGAGTGTTCTGGAGACGATGAAGGAGTTGTGCTCAACCTTCAGGGAGCCCTGTCGTCAGTTAACTGCACAGGTCGTCGAGTATAATCGCGCGAAGATCGAGGGTTACTTCAGGACCCTTAAGGTGATCTATCAGCTACCAGGGCAACCCACGACCAAACGAACTGTTGGGGTCAATGGACTGGGCAGATCAGCACGAGAGACGACTTTTCCACTGGACAATGGAACAACAACAACGGTTCTAGCTTATTTCCAGGGAGCTAAGAGATACAATATACAGTATCCAGATTTACCATGTCTGTGGGTTGGCCCAAGGAATAAACATAATATGGTACCAGCTGAATTGTGCACTGTAGCTCCAGGCCTCGTCACCACCAAGAAACTCGATGAGAATCAGACGAGGTCCATGATTCGGGAGACAGCCAAGGACACGAAGACCAGAAAAGCCAGGATCAAGGAGGCTTTCCAGTCAATGGGGTTCAACGAGCACCCAACTATGCAGGAATTTGGCATTTCTATTAATCCACAATTCGAGACTGTTGATGCACGTGTCCTGAATCCTCCCACTCTGATGGACCAGCAGGAGATTAGACCTGCGAAGGGTGTGTGGAGGGCCAATAAATTCAGAACACCTCTGGGGCTGGAGGACAAGAGCTGGAGTATTCTTAATTTGAGCAGAGCTAGGGATGATGCATTGTACGCTTTTGTCGACGAGTTGAGGAAGCAGGCAGGGAGGAATGGAATGAATATTGGAGCTCCTGTGACTCCATTCAAGACGATGAGACCACCAGGCAGAGACATTCGTGAACTCCAGAATTACCTCCAGGATCATAAAAAAGGAAAGCTCAAGTTGCTTTTTGTGGTGATCCCTGGACAGGGGCAGGATGTTTATCCCAAGGTTAAACAAGTGGCTGAACTCACTGTTGGGTGTCTCACACAGTGCATTAAAGACAGCACTCTGAATAAATTTAACTCGATGACTGCTGGGAACATTCTGCTGAAAGTCAACTCCAAACTCAATGGGGTCAATCACACGTTCCAACCCAACTCCAAACCTGATTGCCTCAAGGTGCCCTGCATTCTTTTTGGGGGTGATGTGACACATCCCTCTCCGGATGCCACTGACATACCATCCATTGCTGCTGTGGCTGCCAGCCACGATCCAACTGCATTCAGGTGAGGGATTAGGCAATTTTGTTGATTATTTTTACATCTCGAGAACAGCTCGATTATATTAAATACGATATTGTCCATTACTTTGGGAATGGGTAATATTTTTCAAATCATTTTTATGTATTATACCTATTTATTATTTATTAATATTTTCATAATAATTCTGATTATTCTCACGATGAACGATCTTCAAAGTAATTTTCAATGATTTAGTAATGAGAAATATGTTCAGAATAATTTTTCATTGCTTCAGGATTTTCTAATAATTTGATCAATATTTCTTGCCAATTTTTGCTTCAGGTATAATGTTGTGATCCAGCTGCAGCCACCGAGACAGGAGATCATCCTGCATCTGGAGGAGATAGTTTACAGGCAGATCAGGATCTTCGAGGAGAAGAATAAGTGTCTGCCTCAGAAGATTATATTTTACAGGGATGGCGTGAGTGAGGGACAGTTCCCTCAGGTCATGCATTGGGAGCTGCAGGCGATGCGCAATGCCTGCAAGAAACTTGGACCAACTTATCAACCAAAGATCACGTTCTTGGTTGTCCAGAAGCGTCATCACATCAGGTTTTTCCCCACTGATTCGAGGAACTCTGACGACAGGAATGGGAATGTTCAAGCTGGTACTGTTGTGGATACTAATATTACGCATCCATCGCATATCGATTTCTATCTGGTTTCTCATGCCAGTATTCAGGTAAGTGGTGAGATGAGGAATATTGTAGTTAGTCGAATTCATTTTTTTATATTTTTTATTGCTGATTGAACTTTTTTGACTGAAATAAGGAATTCTGTAGGGAAATTTCAGAAGATTGTGATCTTTCAGAGATGAATCAATTCAATGGGAAATTCTTCCAAACATTTTTCTTACAGCAAAACGTGAGAAATACATTGATTGTCTTGTTGAACTACATTTCTAGGAGAGTGATGTTAATTTAATTTGAGGAAAAAATCATGGAATTTTGATCATAGATGATAGATCGGCATTAATCATTAATTTAGTAATATTACGAGAAGTTACACCTTATAATAATTAAGATTTATTTCTCTTCATTGAAATTTGAAAAATAATATAATAATTGGTAATTGAAATTTTTTCAATTATTATACGAAATTCCTTGAATTCCTGGAATTCAATTTCTTAAATTGTCAGTAAAATTTCAATTTAGTAAAAAAATTCAGCAAAAAATGTTTCAACATTAAATTTTTTTTTTTAATCCACGTGAAGTATTGAATTCTTCATATTATTAGACATAAATTCCTCGATTAATACTTTACCATTATTTTTGGAGCATTCAATTCACTCCTGAATATTAAATTTCCCATCTTTAGGGAACTGCAAGACCAACGAAGTATCGTTGCCTGTGGGACGACAATGACATGTCAGAGGATCAAATCGAACAGTTGACTTATTATCTTTGTCACATGTTCTCTCGCTGCACTCGCTCAGTGAGTTACCCAGCTCCCACTTATTACGCTCATCTGGCTGCTTTTCGAGCTAGGAATCTCACCTACGGGGTCAACATTAACCTCGAAAATTTGGAGCACGAGCAGAGGAATCGACTCACGATTAAGGATGAGCTTATCAGCAACAATCCCATGTTCTTTGTCTAAAGAAATGGCATTTTTATTCTCTCGTCCATTTCAGTAGCGAAGTGGACTCATTTCCCAGTTGAGTTTTTGAGAAAAATTTCCGAATCTAACGGAGATAGCGAAAATTTCTTGATTACATTTGTTATAGCTCTCAATCGGCTCTACAAAAAAGGTATTAACAAAAATTTTGCCATCTCCCTTAGATTCCGAGATATTTATTAAAAACTGGTCAATAGTCAAAATTGACTTATACCGTTTTACCACTTCTCTACTGATTTGTATTCTCTTGGTTTGGATTTTTTCATTTTTTTGCATTTAAAGATCTTCCCACGTGGAACGAAGCTACTCGCCTTTCCTTCGGAAGACTGATTTATGTTGCATTAATCATTTTTAGAAGTAACATTGAATATATTTTTATACAGACCATTGTCTGTTCGGTAGAGGGACGTGTAATTGCACAATACCAAGGGTGATAATGTACACGATCATGTGTAACCTGATTCTTTGGCCTTCGTGAGTCAGAGACATTCAAAATATCCCTTTTACAGTTCATTATTTAACACACTGACATAAAGTATATGGTCATTATTACATTTATTGATATAAAGTATGTGATAATAAAAAAGCCTGATAGATATTAGGAATATATATCACGTACGAATCTATGTATTTCCCGAGACATCTGTAATTTCTTTATCTGTTAATAAAGAATTTTTAGAGTATAGACGAAATCTCTTAAATTCCATCGATTATTCATCACTTTGCGAAATTACATTATTAATGCACAACATTGAATATTATAACACGGAATATTAATTCGAAAATGGAAATTCCTAATTTTTCGCAAAGTTGATGAACGGAAATTCGTTGAAATCTTGAAATGTGAGGAGAATTTTCACGAAGTGCATCAGAAATTCCAATAAAAAATCTTCAACAGCCCAATTATAAATTCCAAAAAATTGATCAGAAAAAAAAATAGAGAATGAAACGATTTCTATTCTACTCTTCAATAAAAATTCCACATTTCAAGATTTCCATGATTTTTCCAGAAATCATTGCCCTAAAATTACTTGAATTCCTGAAATGTGATAAGAATTTCCGCGAAGTGCATCCGAAATTCCAATAAAAAAAATTCAACACCCCAACTATATAATCGAAAAAGCTGATCAGAAAAAATGTCAAATTCAAAAGCAAAAAATCCTCATCAATTCGAGAATGAAAATTTCAATTCAAGAATGGAATATTCCTCATCCAAGACCATATTCACTCAAGGTACTCCCAAAATTCTTGAATCAAACGTATCGTTTCCCCCTCGGAATTCATAATGACCCCCTGAATCGTAAATCCCCAAACGTCAGTTGAACGTCAACTATAATGACTTGACACAGTGATCTATATAGACTGCATGTACCACAGAGCGTCAAATATCCTCGCGGTTACTGACCGTTCAACGCCGTGAATCCCGCTCTCGCTTATTGATCGCACCTTGTGCAATTCTCGTTGAAGACACATGCGCGTCATGCGCATAAGACTGGAAAAATAGTCAATTTTCTCTTGGCACGGTCTACGTCGCCGAAGACCAGTCGAAGACGCTTGCACGTCTGTGGTCCGGGATAATTAAGAAAACAAACGTCATTTCCGTTTATAAACAGAAACGGGTGAATAACATTCATTATCCCGAGGGTATTTTTTCAAGTGATTGTTGCTGAGGGTTGTCGTGCCGCATGTGGAGGTTTACGTGAATCACTGAAGTGATAGTTTTGGCATGAGTGGAGACGGAGAGCCCAGGTATTCCCATTTTCCTCAAAAATTATTACCCCATAAATTTCGAGAAGCTAAGCCCCAAATTTTTTAAAATCGAAATCGATCAGTCGAAAAAATTTAACTTGCTGTCTGCACTTCATCCATTTTTCCTTTTTTCTTGTATTTGTTTACAATGTCTTTGCAATGACCTCCCAACCCTCCAATTGCGTCGCAGAAAAACCCGAATCGCGGACGATTGAACCGAAGATGTGATGACTCCCCCCCGGAATGTCATCATCATCTCCGTAAAGTTGCATTGAAAGTTGAATGAAAGTAAAAGTGCGGAGTGACATTCCACTTAAAAACGAGAAATCTGAAATTGCAGTGGATGTCAGCATGAAGCCTTGCGAATGTTCCAGTATCTTCGCGAGTCTGCTCGAGGGAATTGATTCAATTTCACTGTTAATTTGTTGACTCATCAGTATCCCTTCGCAACGCACTTTACTAACGATCGAAAGCTAATTCAATTCGGCTTAATTCATTTATTCAAGGCTTCAGGCTGCTGCCCATCGAAGCCTGCTGGAAGAAAAAACGTGAAAATAGTTGTTAATGAATACCAAATCATTAGTAGACATTTGAATCTGTCGACATGTAGATTTTTAAATATCACGAGAAGAATTTCATGGATACGTACGAGAACATTTAATAAAAAATCGGCATCGGAAGGAATTCTACTAAAAAAATTTATTGCACAAATTTTATTGAAAAGATATTTTTATTCCGCAGATATTTGTTTATAGAAAACAATATATAGACATTAATTTTACTATAAAACTCATTCTATTGAGATTACTATTATAAAAATTCTGGATCAAGATTTTTTTTCTTGAATTTTATTATAAAATTAAAATTCCCGAAAATTTGTGCCCAAGAATTTTCGCAGAAAAATCAAAATCTATTGCTTTTTTTCGATAAATATCTCTTAATAAAATGACAGGTTAAATAAATAAAATTGCATAATTATTAATAGAATTGACGTTAAACAATGTATAATTTTTTAATAGAATTCCAAGCGAACTTCAGTAGGATTTTGCAAAAAAAGCGCTAGGTTTAATGAATTTTCATAATTTTCACATAACCGCGGATGAAAAAATTTAAAAGAAAACCCTAACGAATTCGCTAGACCATTCTATTGGATTTCTATTAAAAGTTTAACTATTCGTTTTCGGCCGAATCTGAAAAACCGAAAAGAATTCGATTTTTCTAAACAACTTATTCCCTTGAGATATTTTCCATACAATTTCCTCGGCCCAAATTTTCCAAGTTTTTTGTTTGATTTTCTTGATGAGAAGAAAAGAAAAATAGAACAAAAACAATTTGCGCCGAGGAAATTCTACAGAAAATATCTGAAGAGCCTGAGTTACACAGAAAAATCGGATTCTATTGGCTTTTGCTCAGCAGAAATCCACCAGAATTTCCTACCGAATTCGCCAGCTTTTTCAGTGAAATTTTTTCGTGCGTGAAGCCTCGGGCCGAAAAGAATGTCCAAAAATACAATCACTACAACCAAAAACAAATGGACTGTTCCAGGAAATTGATAAGTACATCGAGGCGGTTGATGTAAACCGGAGAAGGATGCGAGGGCAGGGAAGAAAATTGTCTTGGTGACCGGGTGGTAGGTGTCCCTTGATTAGTGGGGGTTGAAGGCTGTCAAGCTGAATTGCTAAAAACTCCAAAGTAGGTCAGTGAGAGAGTAGTAGATCAGCACAAAGTCGGCTGTACCCTCGATGCTTACTCTACGCCTGGTGTCTACGCACTTTTTGAAGCAGCCATAGGGTGTTATCCGTCGCCTCGGAAGCGATAAAAAAAAATATTGTCGATATAATGTGTCGTGATAGAGACATGAACCACGAGCACTTGTTAATAGCCAACAATTATCACCTGGATCGATGAGCTATTGATTTTTATCGATCTAATTACACTGAACTGAGTGGATAAAACATCGAGTTGTTAACAGGATTACTTGGAAAAGTCGTCGGTAATCTTGTAAAGTATTCCTCTGTAATCCAATTTAGGGAGAATTCACTGTTCTCACGATTAGTTTTGCCGGTGTTTTGGTACCTCGATGTATTGTCATCCTGTGACTATTGGACGATATCGATATTTTTCGAAGTGAATTGTCGTTGTTTCGGGAAAATTTCACTCGGGAAAATTTCAATTTTGCTAACTGCCGTTGAACACGGCTCACGGATCGCTTGTGATATACTTCAATCTGTGGAGAGCTGCGAAAGAGTGCATTGTGAGTATCAACGTCGTCGTGGCAGTATTTATAGATCAGGATTATGGGTGGAATATGGAATTTAAATTTCTGTGATTGCTCAGTGCGGCAGTGGGTCGCGGTGCAGACGGACTGGGATGAGACGCCCGCAGCAGGAAGTACATCAACATCAAAGTCATTGTCAGGGATCTCCGCCCGAGAGTCCGATTGAACCGCGTCAACGGAACACCAACGTCAAGGCAATTTATTTTATTCATTCATTTATTCAGTTATTTATTTATGTATTCAATTAGCCATTCATTATTTATTTATCTCAATTTTTTAATTGATTTAATTTTTTTTGATTGCTTTGGTTTGTAGTTTCTGTATTTCTATGGATACAGTGTTGGAAAAAAATTTATTTTCATATCTCCAGGGATGAAAAAATTTAATAGAAAAACTCGTCAAAGTCAAGGCTATTTATTTTATTCATTTATTAATTTATTTATCTATGTATTCAATTAGTCATTCATTATTTATTTGTCTCAATTTTTTGATGATTTTAATTTATTTTAATTGCTCAAGAAAATCAAACGAAAAAACTTGAAAAATTTAAGCCGAGGAAATTCTATAGAGAATATCTCAATGGAATAAGTTATATAGAAAAATTGAATTCTATTGACTCTTTCTACTGAATATTTTCTACTGAACATTTCAATAGAATCGGCCAAAAACTAATAGAACAGTTCAATAGAAATTCAATAGAATTTTCTAAAGAATTCGATAGGTTTTTCTATTAAATTTTTTCGTCCGTGTATGATAGAGCTATCTCCCCCTGAACTGATAAAATTGGTTTATCGTCTGCAACAGGACGAGTCGCGATTGGCGCGTGTGAAACGCGTGCTGACAGGTTCCCTCCTCGGTCGCGGTATCAGCAGTGCCGAGTCTAAACGGGTGTTCGGGGCTCGACTGGAGCTTGTTGACTCCTACCTGGACACTGGTGTTCCCTACGTGGTGCATCGGCTCTGCGGGTACATCGAGCATCACGGCTTCCAGAGCGCGTCGGTCTTTCGTCTCTCGGGGGGCAGTCCTCGGTTGACTGAGCGGCTCAGGGCGGCTTTCGAGAGACGGGGCGATGCCGATCTCGAGGGGGCAGCATGCCCCTCAACTGCGGCCACTATGCTGAGGCAGTACCTCAAGGAACTGCCACAGCCACTCGTTCCCTCCTCCCTCGTTGCTCAGCTCATTCATATCCACGGCCGTAAGTCATTTTATTTTTCCATCAAAAAAATCGAAATCGTTTTTGTTTTTTTCATTTTTCATTTGCGCACGGAGGGAAATGTTCAATAAAAATTATGTATCTTTTACGTAATTCCGGAGCGAAATGTGGTTGTAGGACATTTTACGGAACTGTCGTGTAATTTTTACATAAAATCACGGAATTTTTCCAGAGCGTTCCGTAATTTTTACGGATCTCCTGGGAAAAATTACGATCGTCAATTAAATTTTCTGAGCCGATTCCGTAATCAGTGAGCGAACTGGGAGGTCCGTATTTTTTACTGAACATTTTTCTCCGTGTGCATCAATTTATTTCACTTTGAGGATATCCGAGGACTTTGGCTATTTTTTCTCCAGCGAAATACTTCTCTAGTTTTGTTGTCGAATGTCAGAGCTTTCATTTGAGCCACATTTTGCAACAATTTTATTATTTAAAGTTTCCAGGTTTGAATTTGAGGCTTGATATTGAACCGTTAGAAAACATTTTAAGAATCTTAAGAATAAAAAATAAAAAACAAATTCTTAGAAACATTTTAAGCATTTTAAGAATAAAAAAAATTATGAAGTTTGCTTTTGGACGGCGATTAATGAAATAAGTTAAAAAGTGCAATTTTTAAAAATTAGGAGCAGTATTTATAAATAATTTATAAACAATCACTTTTCCATTATAAAAATTATTTATTCGCAATCGTACAAATTTATTCAGATTCAGAATTTTACCAGAAGTCGATTTCATGCCTAAAAAAAATTTTCTGAAAGTTTAAACAATCTCAATTATTTATTTACAAACAACGAATGTTTTAAAAAATAATAATTCCGTGCAAAGTGGAATGACACTGCTGGAAAATTACTGTTTACATTTTTGACTTCACGAAATTTCAACATCTTCATTCAATTGAATATAATTTTTAATTTTCATAATGACTTTGAATATTCAAGCTGTTATTAAAATATCAATGATAACTCAACATGAAAAACTGCCATGACTAAATGACTCTGACTGCTAAAACTATTAATTGAATTCAATTCATTACGCAGCTATTTTTCAAATTGACAAAAAATTTAAACTGTTTTTTCACTAGTTTTAGTTGTAAATGAATGAAATCTTCTCCTAGAATATCACTCGAATAATCGAGAGACCTGGATAGAACGGACACACCAGCTTCTGCTGAGTCTCCCCCCATCGCACTATCGCCTCTTCGGGTACTTGGCGAATTACCTCAGCAAGTATGAAGCTCGCCACGGCAGAAGCTCCGGTGTTTGCGGGGTATTTGCACCGGTTGTACTACCCCACGTACCACCAGCCACCACTCTCCTCCGGGACATCCTCGCCGAGGCAGCCAAGCTGTTCCCAGGCTGGTGAGTACTCCGTAATATTTTCATTTAAAAACATCAATTTGACTTTGTTCATCAATTAATTTATTGAGGAAACTTCACAGTTTCGTATTTTCGATTTGGAAATTTGGGGAAATAGATAATTGACGCCTTTAAAACATTTTCCGAAAAATTTTTTTTTGAAACATTCAACAATTGTTTAAACTTTTGGAAATTTTTTTTTTCTTGTGAAATTTCAAAGCTGAAGAAATTTGTTATCATTTGTTATCATTCATCTCATTTATCTAATTTTTCAAAAAATTACATTTCTTTTAACATTCACCAATTGTTCAAATTTTTGGCAATCTAATTTTTTTACTCGTTAAATTCAAAATGTTAAATAAAAAAATTTGTTATCATCTCAAAAAAATATTTTTAGGAAGGGAAACGCAATGTTTATGAATAAATAACGAAAAAATGTCGTTTCATCTAATTTCGCAAAAAACAACATGTCTTTCAACATTCACGAATTCTATAAACTTTTCGTTATCTTATTATTCTTTTTAAAACTGCTGCAATTCACTACCATTTTGAAAAAATATCTTTGATGGAAATCTGATTATTTAAGAATCAATTAAGAAAACGTGCTATCTTCGAAGATTACAATCCATCAGAAATGAAGCCTTCGAACTTCAAATAATCAAATCAGTGCGATTTGCAGAGTGTGCGGTAACCTAGGGTCAAACGTAGCTACAACCAAAGCTCTGTTATTTAATGACAAATTTAAAAAATGCTTTGTTTCTCTAAATAGTAGAAAATGTTTGTATTAATTCTTTTTGAGAGGCGAATAAATTAACAAAGGGGATTCTGACGATAAATAATTTCAAACTAAAAATAAAATGAAAGTGCAAGGGACATCCACAAATATTTGCGCTTCATTTTCCGTCCAATTTCGTCTCTGTCATTATTTTGTCCCTCCCACCATCACCGATCAAGATCAAATTCAAGATCGATTTATCTCTCCCCTCGCTTTATCGAAATGAAATTCAATACGTTACTCGAGCCTATTAATCGTCATAACATCGTCCATACCGGCGCTCCGTCCGGAATGATGCCCCATAAATACCGATTGCGTAACGCGATCAAGCATTACTCAATACTCTACACTGCATAATTCCGATTACAACTAAAAAATCGGCGTGCCGAAACCACAGAATGCCCCCTCCTGACGCAACTTTCCTGTGACGCTCGTCTTCCATTTATACATGGATGATACACAACTCGCGATCCATAAGATTTCCGCGCACCTAAATAAACCTACCCAAGTTGCGCTTACGTGCAGCCAGACACGATATGATCCTATAAATGGCTTATTCACACATTCGGATTTATTTTTGTAACAAAATGAGTTTTCCAATTTTCGAGGGGAATACTGCGTAGATCGCGCCTGGCACGGATCCATCCATAATTTTGCGCGAGCTTATCATGAGATCGGTTTATTTTTTAATAACGGAAATTTATTTTGCCGGGAGACGTTCTTGAGAGCGACGTTGGAACTGCAGAATCGGCGGAATTTTTAATAAATCAATGAATCGATTGGTGAATAATAGATGACCCTATTTTGTTTGGAGACGTGAGTTTTTTTAAAAGATTGACATAATTTTGCGCGAGTTTATCATGAGACTGATTTATTTTTTAATAACGAAAATTTATTTTGCCGGGAGGCATTCTTGAGAGCGACGTTGGAACTGCAGAATCGGCGGAATTTTTAATAAATCAATGAATCGATTGGTGAATAATAGATGACCCTATTTTGTTTGGAGACGTGAGTTTTTTGAAAAGATTGACATAATTTGCGCGAGTTTATCATAAGATTGGCTTATTTTTTAATAACGAAAATTTATTTTGCCGGGTGGCATTCTTGAGAGCGACGTTGCAACTGCCGAATCGGCGGAATTTTTAATAAATCAATGAATCGATTGGTGAATAACAGATGAACCTATTTTGTTTGGAGACGTGAGTTTTTTGAAAAGATTGACATAATTTGCGCGAGTTTATCATGAGACTGATTTATTTTTTAATAAAGAAAATTTATTTTGCCGGGAGACGTTCTTGAGAGCGACGTTGGAACTGCAGAATCGGCGGAATTTTTAATAAATCAATGAATCGATTGGTGAATAACAGATGAACCTATTTTGTTTGGAGACGTGAGTTTTTTGAAAAGATTGACATAATTTTGCGCGAGTTTATCATGAGATTGGCTCATTTTTTAATAACGAAAATTTATTTTGACGGGAAGAATTCTTAAGAGCGACGTTGCAACTGCCGAATCGGCGGAATTTTTAATAAATCAATGAATCGATTGGTGAATAACAGATGACCCTATTTTGTTTGGAGACGTGAGTTTTTTTAAAAGATTGACATAATTTTGCGCGAGCTTATCATGAGATTGGCTCATTTTTTAATAACGAAAATTTATTTTGACGGGAAGAATTCTTGAGAGCGACGTTGGAACTGCAGAATCGGTGGAATTTTTAATAAATCAATGAATCGATTGGTGAATAACAGATGAACCTATTTTGTTTGGAGACGTGAGTTTTTTGAAAATATTGACATAATTTTGCGCGAGTTTATCATGAGATTGGCTTATTTTTTAATAACGAAAATTTATTTGGACGGGAAGAATTCTTAAGAGTGACGTTGCAACTGCCGAATTGGCGGAATTTTGAATAAATTAATGAATCGTTTGGTGAAATTTTTATGGGTGGGTTTTTTAGTTATTCCATTTTTTAATTCTGTATTTTTGTTGATTTGTGAATCACAGATGAACCAATTTCATTTGAAGACATGAGTTTTTTGAAAATATTGACATAATTTTGCGCGAGTTTATCATGAGATTGGCTTATTTTTTAATAACGAAAATTTATTTTGACGGGAAGAATTCTTAAGAGTGACGTTGCAACTGCCGAATCGGCGGAATTTTGAATAAATTAATGAATCGTTTGGTGAAATTTTAATGTGTGGGTTTTTTAGTTATTCCATTTTTTAATTCTGTATTTTTGTTGATTTGTGAATAACACATGAACCAAATCAACAAAAATACAGAACCTATTTTATTTGAAAGACGTGATTTTTTTAACAATATTGACATGTTTGCGTAGATCCCGGCTGACAAGATTCTATTCATAATTTTACACACATTTATCACGAGACTGGTTTATTTTTTAATGACGAAACTTTATTTTGGCGGGAGGTATTCTTGAGAGCAACTTTGAGGAACAACAAAATCACCGAAAATTTGAATAAATCAATCAATCGTTCGCTGAAATTTTAAGTTCCGGGTTTTTCAGTTAATCCATTTTTTAATTCTATATTTTTGTCGACTGGTGAATAGCAGATGAGTCAATTCCATTGGAGAAATACCGGTTTGTCCAAAATATTGACATGCTTGCGTATGAATGTATTAAGTTCTACAAATTATATATCATTTTAATAAACACCTCTCCATAAAAACAAAAAAATATCCCTAAAATAAACAATTAAAACCGGCGACCGCCAAAAATATCTGAAATAAATCAACACTCCCCCTTCAAGTAGTAATAACAAATGAGTTTCTGACTCGTTCGATTGTCTATTTCAGAACGAAAACAATGACACGGAAGACAGAATTCCCTCGATATTTTCGTCAATCGCTACATGACGAACAGTACACGTAACTTCCAGCCAAAATCTATTTTCTGCTGTAATGACCCACGAGCGCCCAATGTCAAGCGCAACCCCCCACTGTCAACCCTCCCACGTGCTACTATAATGACAAAATAATTCATGACAATCGCAGCTGGAATCAGTCCTCCTGAATGTCGAGGGAGATAAACGCTGATATCTGAACGTGCGTCCTCGAATTTCAGCGAGTGGCTGTCCTTGGGTTTTAAAAGTCACGAGGGATTCCTTTCGCAAATTTTCCCTTCCGACTCGGAATTTACGACTCCGAATAAACAAACAAAAATCAAGGGGATAAAAAGGTTTAATCGTTCGGGGCACAACCGGTTTTCCTCACACAGTAAATTCCGAGATGTCAGTAATCATCAATTACTGCATTATTGGGTCAGTGATTACGAATCGAAGATCCTGGAATGGGGAATAGGTACCCTCGAGGTTTAAAAATCACCATGGATTCCTCTCTGAAATTTTCCTTCCGACTTGGACTTTACGACTCCGAATGAACAAACAAAAATCAAGGGGATAAAAAGGTTTAGGGGATAAAAAGGTTTCGTTCGGGGCACAACCGGTTTTCCTCACACAATAAATTCCGAGATGTCAGTAATCTTTAATTGCTGCATTATTGGGTCAGTGATTACTAATTGAAGATCCTGGAACGGGGAATAGGTGCCCTCGAGGTTTAAAAATCACCATGGATTCCTCTCTGAAATTTTCCTTCCGACTTGGACTTTACGACTCCGAATGAACAAACAAAAATCAAGGGGATAAAAGGGTTCAATCGGCCGGGGCACAACCGGTTTTCCTTACGCATTAAATTCCGTGTGTCATGCAATTGTACAATTTCATGTCACGTGGATGTGTCAATAATTATCGATGGCTGTATTATTGGGTCAATGACTATGAATTCATGACCCTGAAGTGGGAAAGATCCAGGAATGGAGAATGAGAGTGACAATTATGATTGTGCAGTGCTGATGCGACTGTTGTTGGTAACAGCAGGGTCAATCCTTGAACGTGCACGGCCCTGGCATGCAATTTACGTGGATGCACTGGCTGATCGTCTTCCAATGCGATATTTCCAACGCTCCTCCTTATATTTCAGGGTAAATGACGATCGATAATGCCATTTTTCCTGTCGCAATAGCAACAAACCGTTCAATAATAAGTATATCGTTATCGAGTGGGTAACATAAATATTGGAGTAACGGGAGAGCGCAGGGGAGCGGATGTTTCTCGGTGTGTTTCCGGGACTGGGCTTATGAGCGATTTAATATTTGTTAAATAAATAGGAGGAGTGGGGCAAAATGGAGTTGAGAACAGGGACA